CAACAAACGTTTACGGCTTAGACCCTCGGCATCTGCTCCAGCCTGGCCGCTCTGTTACCGCAGGCATATTGCCCCCCAGAGTCCGGTGCTTGTTTGGCCAGTGGAGACCCAGGTCAGTATTTACCGGGTGCCTGGCCTCCCACGACCTATTAGAGGCCCCTGTGCCTCCATCACGGCATGTTTTCACCTGAGATGGATGTTCCCACCTTGCAACACTGTTGAGAGGATTATGCTCCAAAGATGTGTCCAGAGTCCGACAGCTGTCGGTCTCCAGTCAGGTGTTAATGATGCCCGAACGAGATGTTCCATGAAGCGCCTCTCAGGCAGACTGAGCTTTTGAAAATGAGAAGTGATATTCTGTCTTGACACTCCGCCTCCACCTTCAAACTCATTGTTTAGGGTGTTCTTAAGCTAATGGGCTGGAAAGACCCTGTGTGTGATCTGGCCCCGTCCTGCCTTTTTGGCCTCAGGCTCTTCCATGGCGCTCCCTAGTCCGGCTCCTCTGTCTCTGTTCTGGGAGCCTTCCCGCCACCCTCCTCCCAGGGCAGAGCCTCTGTTCGTGGTCTTCCCTCCCCGGGGACACCTGCTCGCCCTTCTGAGTACAGCCCAGCCATCCTGCTTTCCAGGACGCCTTCCCCGGCCTGAGACTGAGTCGGGTCTCCCCTGTCCTCGCTCCTCACAAGCTGTACTCCTGCATGAAACGTTGTAACGTTGAAGCCAACTGCAGTTGTGCAGTTAGTCCTTTGCAGACTGTCTCCCCTGCTCAGTGAGCAGCTCCGGGGGGACCTGAGTCTGGTCGCTGCAGTCCCAGCATCGGGCCACACCTGCGCAATGGAGGGAGTTCGTCAGCACCGGCTGAGAGATGAGTCAGTACACAGTCGTGAAAATGCCCCGTTAGGTACTAGCCTGGCAGAGGTGGGCATGGAACACCTGGCCTCAGAGTTTGAGTTTTGCAGGCGTGCAGTCATTTTTCTAACTCAGCCAGCGTTCTGTGAGTGCCATCCCTGCCCCCGGCACTCGATCGGGAGCCTGCAGACGTGGGAGTGGCGCGACAGAAGAGGGGATGGGACAGGTCACCCTCTCGAGTCTCCTCTTCTCACCGTGCAGTGGGAACCGTGATCACGGTCAGGGACCCTTAAAGGAGGCGTGCCTTTCCCGGCAGTGGGCATCGTTCCATCCTGCAGGTGCTGAGACTCAGGTGCTGGGATCTCCCGCTTAGCCACCTGGCCCCGTTCGGGGGCTGCACAGGGCGGAGCGGAATCCGGGTCCATTTCCCTCTTTACCCCCTGTGCTTTTTTGGCCGTACCCATCCAATTCACCACCCGTACCTCTTAGGAAGCACCACAGGCAGCTTCACTGTAAAGCAGTCATGCGATAGAGAAAGAACAAAACAAAGAGAAGAACGCGCACGTTACACAGATGGGGTGGGAAGCCCGGCAGGGGCCCGTCCGGGACGGCGCTGTCTTTCTGCCGAGACGCTTGGGGCCAAGAGCAGGCTGACTTTGGGCACTGCCCTCTGGAACGTGGGGTTGGAGGGCTTCTGAGAAATGGATTTGGGCTTGTGTTGAGTCGCCCTGAGCAGGAGTTTCTACACGGTTTTGAATTTGTTCCAGTGGCGAAACATCAGAAACAAAATCCAGCCAGCAAAGCCCCGACACGTCAGGGCAGCGCGCCCCTTTCTTTCCCCGGTGCTTTGCCATTTACACACAGACACACACACGCGGGGCACTTCAACCTGCAGGTGAACCGTGTTCGTGATGGAAAGGGGCATCGCTTTCAGTAGTTACACTTTTCATAGATTTTTCAATTTGTATTTCTTTCTCACTTGTTTGATGTTTAAAGGGCATTTTACACACCTTATCTAATTTCTTTCTCACTGTGGTCAAAGGAGGGGAGCAAGGCTTGTATTATCCTCATCGTTTATCTGATGAGACACTTGAGTCTCAAAACAGGGCAGTAGCTTGTTCAGAATCTCATAGTCCCTGGGAAGCAGAGGTTGGCCTCAAACCCGGGTCCTCCCGCTCCAGTCTGTCCACCCCTGCACTGTAATCTCGCAGTCGGCTCCGTTGTTTGTGGAAAGGCTTAGATGAGGCCGTTTTGTTTTCTTTAGAGACCCTCTGTTGTGACCCTTTGTTTTCCCCTCCTGAGCATCATTTTTTCTTAGGCTGTGTATGTAGTCTAAGAAAAAGCCTTAACCTCTCCATTGATAGAGGCATTCCTGCCCGAGCTCAGGGATGTTGGGGTTTGGTGCCACAGCACCGCAGTGAAGGGAACATGGAAGTACAGCGGGTCACACGAGTATTTGGGTTTCCCCATGCATATGGGAGTTACGCGTACGCCGTTCTGTAGTCTGTTAAACGTGTAGTAGCAAACCGGCTAAAAGACAACGTACGTGTCTTCATTTGAAAAAGAATGCTGTTGGAAAAATGGCTTGCTTGGTGCAGGGTTGTCAGAAATCTTCAATTTTTGAAAACACGAATCTGTGAAGCACGATAAAGCTAATAAGCACTGCAGAGCGAGCTGTGCCTGTGTGCAGACAGACGGAGACGCGGACACGGCGCACGGGGGTGCCCGGGCCGTCTGCCGTGTGCAGACAGAGGGAGACATGGACACGGCGCACGGGGCGTCTGCCTCTGTGTTACACACGCGTGTGTTGTTTCAAAGGCATGAAAAGTGAGCGTGTGTGGGAAAGAGCAGTGGCGTGGCCGGCCTCGTTGGCGCAAGAGCAAGAAGAAGGAAGTGAAGGGAAACACCCACCTGTGCCCCAGAGCTGATACCCCTGCAGACGGGTGGCGAGGCCCCGGCCCCCTCCCGGGTGGGCAGTGACCTAGGATGTCCCTGAATCCTGAGGGAGACCCTGGCACCCTGAGTGATGGGCGCTGTTCCCAGTGCCCAGATGTGGTCCTGGGTGACATCCCAGCTCAGGGAGTGGCTCTGGACAACGGGGCCAACGCCCAGCTTTGGTCTGTGAACGGAGAGCCGCAGAGGGAGGACCAGTCTTTGCTCACAGGTTCTACAGCCAAACAAAGGGTCCCTGAGGGTCCGAGAGTCTGAGAACCAGGAACCCGGACGCCTCCTCATTTCCCTTCCCGGCTCTCTGGCCAGACAGCTTCCGCCTCCTCCAACACGGAAGGCGGTACCTTGCATTCCTTGCCCCCGGAGCAGCATCTGGCCCCTCCGTGGCCGGCGTGGGGGTGAAGGTGCCGCAGCTCGCGGCCAGGAGGAGAGCCTGGAGGCCAGCCCCCCTCTCGGGGTGGGAGCCGCTGCCAGCCGGCCCCTCAACAGCCAGGCTGCGGGGGTTAGCCCCTGCGGGCCCGGCCGCCCGCAGCCATGACACGTGCATCGCGACACCGTGCACTCGTGACGTATTGTGGGGACAACTTTCATTCTGAATTTGGAGGGGAAAGGGCGGTTACAGGACTGTCTGGACTGGAGCTGCAGGGGGTTGAGGAGCTCCCCCAGGTGAGGGGCTGGCTCCCCACGCCCTGCAGGAAAGCAGGGCTCTGTGGAGAGAGGGGGATGTCCCGGCACGTGGGGCAGGTGCCAGGCAGGATAAGGTACCCCAGTGTGGCCTTGCTGAGACGGAGCAGGCAGGGAGGCCTGAAGGCTGGGGCACTCAGCTGCGTCTGACCCTGGGGAGGGGGTGGCAGTTTGGCACGTGTCATTGATTTTGGAGAGATGAGAGCAGACGGGTACCACGGGGTGGATTTGAAGGGGCTAGAGGTGGGGGTAAGGGAGTGATGACAGGGCCACAGGGAGGGTCACCAGGGTTGTATGGTGGTCCTTACTGAGGGAAGGGCAGTGAAGGCAGGTGAGAGGGTTGGCTTCAGAGGCCGAAGTGGGAGGCCCTCGTGAGCCCAGGGCACGTGAGTTTCCTCTGTAGTGACTGTTCTCAGCCTGGTGTCGTCTGTCTCTGCCTCCAGGGATGTGTTCCCACAAGGTTTGCCTGACGAGTATGCCTTTGTCACCACCTTCCGGCTCAGGAAAACATCTCGGAAAGAGGACTGGTACATCTGGCAGGTCATCGACCAGTACGGCATCCCGCAGGTGGGAGCGGCACACCTTGTCTCTTGCACATTTCTGCCTCTTTCTCGGGATGGCCTTACCCACTGTGTTCTCTCCAGGGGTCTCTGTTCTGGGCCCTAGAGATGGAGAGTCTGGAGTGCCGAGGCCCAGGGACCCCGCAGGGGGTGTCACACCGCCAGAGAGCGGCAGCCGCTTCCCCCGTGACTGTCCAGTGCCTGGCACCCGGGTGGGGCGGAGGACCTCGTTCTTGGCTCGGGGACCCTCAGCCCAGCCAGGGAGGTGGCAGCCAGCCCTGCTGTCCTCGGCACGTGCTCTGTTAGCAGCGTGTTCAGGGTGTGGTGGGGGACACGGGCTCAGAGCCAGCAGGACCTGCGTTTGTGCCTTGTGTCTGCTCCTTTCTGGGTGTGGGCTCTGGGACGCACGCGCTTTCTGGGTCTTGCTGTTCTTAGCCCGAAAATGGAAACAGGATGCTTGCCGTGTCTGGTTGATGGAGGCATCGGGGGAATAATGTCTCTGAAGTGTCTAGAACACAGACTGTCGTGTAAGACAGTTTTTTTTAATGATGTTCTTTGGTTTTACCTTGAATGGAGCTCTGAAGCCCATCTTTGCCCACCTCTGGTGCATGGGGCTCTCCATTCCCATCAACCACACACAGCAGAGCCAGGAAGGTCTCATCTCCAGGCCCACGCCAGCAACACAGTACATTTGTTTGAGATGCAGGCGACACTACTTTTTGTGCTCTGCCAAACCCCGAGCCCCGCTTCCTCGGAGTCCGCAGGCCCGCCATAGCTGTATCACCGCCCTTGTCTTCTCTTGAGACTGAACTGTGTGGAGACGTCACCCGTCTTCAGCTGGGGATGCTGGCTGTATTTTCATTTGGGGTTGAAATAAACCAGAAACACGCTCAAGCCACGGGACCACGGCAGCTGCTCTCACGGGCTGCTCCTGAGAGAGGGCCGCGCCCAGCAGCCAGCTCCCCTCCCTGAGGTTGGAGCTGGACCCTGACGCCATGCACGGGTCTCACCCGCACTCACCCACACTCAGTAGCAGCTGAGGGTGGTCCTGAGTGCTTTGCAGATATTCACATGGTCCTCGGGGCAACCCTGCGGGCAGGTTCGACGCTGCCATCTTACAAGGAGGGCCTGAACTGTGGTGAACTGAGGCATCTGCCTGTGTCTCCGTGGCTCGTGAGGAGGGGAGGTGGGGTTTGAACCCAGGCCATCAAGCTCCAGATCTGTGTTACCCACCGTGCCCCGCGGGCTCTGGCCCGTGAGTTAGTCCTGCTGAATGCCTTTCCTGCAGCATCCTGGTCAGACTGAGGTGCGTAACCGCCGTCAGGCTTGGCTGCCAGGTGGCCTGGTTTCCTCAGTGTGGGAGGCTGAGTGGAGGAGTGAGATTCTTCTCCAGAGGCTCTTTTTCCAGAGAGCAGGCAGCTCATCATAACCCTCAGCCGCCCCCGTCTGCAGACACGCGGGTCTGGTGTCTCTGGTTTCTGGGGGTCCAGTGCCATGACATTCCTGTGGGGCGAGCCCACACCACCCCTGCAGTCAGCATCCTCCTCCTTCAAGGCGTGTGCAGAGCTGTGTTCTCCCTGCCGGCCACGGCTGCCTCCTCCCCTCCTTCTGCTGGAACGAGCCACGGGCTGCAATTCCGCAGAGACGTGCGGAGGCAGAACCTGCCCAGGAAAACTTTAGGCTCATTTTCAGAGAGGCACCCGGCAGTTCCGTTCCATTGAGCCAGCCCCGGAGAGTGCCTGGCCCTGGAAGTGCCCATGGTGGCCACCCCAGGCCTTGGCGGAGTCCTGGCTGGACACAGGAGAAATGGACCACGGCCAGAAGACAGTCTGTGAGCAGAGTGGTGTTAGCAACATTCCCCCGCTCCCGGAGCCATTGTAGACCTGTAACAGGACCTAGATTTTTATATCCGTGGTATTTACAGCCACCCTTGGCAGGTGGCATTCCCCCCACTTGTCATTTGGAGAGGCCGAGGAGCAGCCATTCATTCCAGATACGACAGAGGGGCAGGAAGAGGAGAGGCTGGCACTGGCGCGGAGTGTGGCGGGTGGTGAGAGGTGGGCTCAGGTTGGGGTGGGGGCCAGGTTTCATAGCCTCGTAGGCCAGCGTCAGGACTTAGACTAGGCGCTGACGCGGGCGGGCCTTGAACAAGAGCCTAGGGGACTGGTGTCCTCTCGGTGGGAGATGGTGTTGACTCTGACCCCTAGTAACAGTGACTTGGGGAGAAATGGTTGGATTCTGGATATTTTGAAAATAGAATCAGCAGGGTTTGCTGATGGACCTGAGCCCTGAAGTGCCTTCCTGAGCCCCAGCTAACCCTGTAGATACGGGACTCAGGCTCTTGGGCCCTCCTCTGCTGTGTATTGTGCTGGAAGGAAGAGGAACATTGGAAAATAAACCCACGGCCTCAGGAAGCCCCCGCGGTGGCTCAGGGATACAGGGCTCAAACAGCTGAAACGAACTTCAGGAATCGGCAGACCACGTTTCATCATGGAGCGTTAGATTATGTGTGTGAGACGTTCCAGGTTATTAGTCAGGGATTTGGAGTTTGGTTTCCACCCTAACCCTAACGTGTCAGCAGGCAAGGCAATTAGAGAGAAATCTTAGGTCCCCCTTGGCTGTACTGCAGCCACGTGGGGCCCAGACAGAAACCAGAACCCCCGGGTGGTGTAAACACTGGCTGATCCTCCGCAGGGCGGTGGGTACCTTCTGTTACCCTCGGGCTCTCATTCAGTCCTTCATTCAGTCCCTGTCTGCTGAGAGCTGCTGTGTGGCCTGCCTTGTCCTGGCCCCTGGGTTAAAGAGATGCCAGCTTGAAAGCAGAGTGTGGAGCAGCAAGAAACGGGGACAAAATAAATGAACGAGACACTTGCATGCACTGACCCGAAGTGCTGTGAACAAAAGTAGCTAAATCACCTCGCCTGAGGGCGTGCGAGCAAGTGACCAGGTTAGATCCAGTTACGTGTGTGTGTCAGAGGCGGCGTCACCAAGGTGACATCTTTGAACTGGCTTACTTGATTTGGTATAGCTAGTATTTAGAACAGTGCCTGGCATATAATAAATGCTGCGTAAATGTTCTACGTGTGTGTTAATTCACTTAATCCTCATAAGAATTCTGTGAAGTAGGCGCTGTCATGGGTGCCATTTTACACGTGAGGAAACAGTACAGAGAGGTTGAACAACCTGCCCAAGGTCACACAGCTTAGAAGTGACTTGGGTGTAGGCGAGCAACAGACAGCCCAGATTCGTGAAGCGTGTTTCAGCAAAGTGTCCAGGATTAACGGAGCTGATGAGGTTAAGGGTCAGGGTTAAGGACACCAGTGAGAGAGATTGCCACATCCCGGAATTAGCAACAGCGGGAAGCTTCCGCCCAGAGCTGGAGCGGCCTGGGCAGGGGAGGTTGGTGGTTAGTGGAGACGGTGAGTTCCAGAGTCATGGAGGAGGGAGAGCTCGCAAAGAGCCATGGCAGGGGGAGGGACATAGCCATCTGGAACCAGGGGAAGCAGGGCAGGGCAGGAAGTGTCAGTCTCGGACCCTCTCTTCCTGCTCTTTGACCTCCGCTGCCAGACTCACTGGAAGCCAAAGGGCACAGGAGTCCAGGTGAAGAAGTCAGAGATTCTGGTCTGGGAGCCGAGATCCAGGCAGAGAGGGACGGAGCATGGGTATCAGCGATTGAAGCCTGACCCCGCAGAGAGTGGACACGAATCTACTCACCCCACCCACACCCTCAGTGAGTGCCTGTCTTCCATGCGAGGTTGGGTCCCCCACCTCCACGCGCTGCTGGAGTGTCGGGCTGGCTCTCTCTGGCATCCCTGACACCTGACAGGTTGCTTACCCGTCACAGAGGATGCTCAGCAAATAGTGTGCCAGCCTGTAGATGCACATTTATTCATTCATTCGTTCATTCATTCTTAAAAAACAGAGAAAAATAAACGTTTGTTCCAGAGTTTTCCAGGCATTTTGCAAAGGGCTGAGGGGGCATCCAGTGCAAAAGACAGGCATGGTCCACTACACGAATTACTTTATTCTAATGGGGCTTCAATTTTATCCTCAAGGTAAGAGAAGTGGGGGTTAATGGACGAGGTCTCAGGCTGGCACCCGGCATCCGGACATGAATATGTTTCGTTCTGCAACCTGGGGTTTTAAAAGATGCTGAAACCAGTCAGGGTTTCTGGTAGGTCTCACAGCCCAAGCCCTTCTGCACAGTGGCCTCGCTCCTACCAGCAGAGCCCCTCTGGGCGTTTAAGGTTTCAACCCCTGGATTAATGTGTGAGCTCAAGTCTTCCATTTAATTTAAGGCTGAGGACAGCCTGCCGGGGAGGTATCAGTAGCATATATTGAGGAGAAGCCAAGGCTTAGGGATGTGAGGCGATTTGCCTGAGGCTGAGCAGCTGGTAAGGGTCACAGCCAGGATCTGACTCAGGTTTGTCAGGTCTGACTCTGGGATCTCCCCTCCCCACCTGCCTGCCCCTCCCTTGGTCCCCTGCAGCTCAAGGAGCCCCTGGTTCTCTCATCCCCAGGTGTCCATCCGGCTGGACGGCGAGAACAAGGCCGTTGAGTACAACGCTGTGGGCGCCATGAAGGATGCCGTCAGGGTGGTCTTCCGAGGTCCCCGGGTCAATGACCTCTTCGACCGGGACTGGCACAAGGTGGCCCTGAGCATCCAGGCGCAGAACGTCTCCCTGTACATTGACTGTGCGCTGGTGCAGACGCTGCCCCTGGAGGAGAGGGAGAACATCGAAATCCAGGGCAAGACCGTGATCGGCAAGCGTCTCTACGACAGCGTGCCCATCGACGTGAGTACTGGCCCTCCTCCACGGCCGGGGTCCTGGGGCCCCCGGGGAGGGCCTCCGAGCCAGGTGCCCCTGACGTCCCCTCACCTGCCTGGCCCGTTGATCAGGGCATCATCTTAGACTGTCTTAGACAGGAGGCCCTGACTCAGAAAACGGCCGTATCCCCACCACACTCATGCCTTCATCTGGTTCTGTAGCCGTTTCGTCAGTCGTTTCTCACCTACGCACTGAGCGCCTTCTGTGTGCCCGACACTGTGCTCAGCACTGGGGACACGGGACGTAAGTCTGCATCTATGTGTAGACTTGGCAGAGAAGAGTGAAACTTCCTTCCAGAGTTTCCCAGGCATCTTGCCAAGGGCTCAGGTAGGGACAGAAAGGGAAATAGAATTATAAGGTTCCTTGTAGATTTACATAGACACTCTTTCCCCTTTCTTCTCGGATTGTAGAAAGCTTGGAAACTCTAGGAAAGTATATGGGAAATAAGTAAAACTCATTCCCAGCGCACCGCGCAGGGGAGCGGCTGGGACGGGTCAGTGCCTGGATGGTGGTCCTGGCACCACCTCCCTGCCAGTGTTCTTCCTCTCCCCCCGACTTCCTTTCTCTCCTTTTCACTTTCTTGTAGTCTTTCTTTCTTTCTTTCCTCTAGAAATGCATTCCCACACCTGTCCATGCAGACACGCACGCAGGACACACGCGCGCTTACCTGCCGTCATCAGGCTGAGGTCAGGTCAGCTTTATCCCCCATGGCCGGAGGCAGCCCCTGCTTCCCAAGAAGTGACCAGCCCATGACCTGGACGGGCTCTTCCCCAAACTGTTTCTTTGATTTGTTTACACTTCTGGGCATATTCATTATCAAATACTGTGTTGTTGGACGTGTGCTGGATTCTTTTGAAATTTATGTAAATGATGTCCAGCATACTTAGCCACATCTTGCTTTTTTGTTCTCAAGATTCTGTGTCTAAGCTTTTGTTCCTTCTTTCAGCTGCTTCGTAATACTTTATTTTGCTTGTTTTTTTATCCTGTTAGTGGATGTTTAGATTGTTCTGATATTTCACCATCATAATCAGGAAGCCTTCGGTTGTGAACAAGGTGGAACATTTCCAAATGGGCTTTCCTCATGGAGGAGACAGGGTGACACTCTTGAGGCTGGAGATACAGGCCAGTGAGAGAGTTTCTCTGGGGTGTGCACCCTTGGGTTCAGTGATTAGATTGTAGGGTAAACAGTTTTTGCCTTTCCAGCATATTTTAACTTCTCAACAAAGTGACAGAACATTTAAGTGCCCAACAGCAGTATAGGGAAGATTTCCTTAGATCCTCACCAACACTTTGATAGATTTTTTTTGACATTTTTGCTGTTTTCCACCAAAACAGTAGATTACAAATATTGTCTGTATACAGATTTCTTGACGTGAAGGCGAGAGTGAGTTGGTCAGAGGCGCTAGGAAGGGGCACGGTGGCGTTTTACCGTGGTCTCCGTCTGCATCTCCGCGGAGCTCAGAAGTCCTCCCACGAGTGTGCTGGTTGCCCAGTTGATTTCCGCTTCATGCTGGTTCACAGCACTTGGCTGTTTTTATAATGATGATGCTTTTTTTGCAATTATTTCTAAATAATCTGTATAGTTTCTGGACACTAACTGCTTATATATTATATATGTTGCAAATATTGTTTCCTGATCTGTCAAAGGCAAACCATAAACTTAAAAAAATGAGTCTGTTTGACTACATCCAGATTCAAGAAATGGTATTATGGGCAAAAGACACCATAATCAAAGTGATAAAGTCTGTTGTAATTTGTTTTGTTAGGTAAACACTAGATTGCAAATACTGTCTGTGTACAGATTCCTTAAAGTGAAGGCCACAGTAAGTTGGGCAGAGGTCCTAGAAAGGGGAGAGCGGGGAGTGAGGAGAGGGCAGGAAGCCCGCCCACTAAAGCTGCAGCTCACGCGCCAGCCCCGTCCCGCCCGGCTGTCGCGGCACACGGAGTCCCGCACCGCCCGTGTCCTTGTGCCTGACACCTGTACCTGGTACCGGGGAGCCCCAGAGCCTGGTGTCTGTCAGTGGAACCCTGTGCCCACCTCCTGTTTCCTGTTGGGTTCCTAGACTAAAAATGAATCCTGGTGAAATGCAGGGAGAGCGAATCAATATCAAGTCCCTTGCTCCTTTGCAAGCCTTCTAAAAGCGAGGCTGGGGTACTTGTGACCACGGGGTTCGGGGCCTGGACACAGCGGGGAGAGACCCAGTGTCCTGTGGGTGCGCCTGCACTGGACCGCGCGCCTGTGACCCCCGGGTCTTCACCACACCTGGCGCGTCAGTGTCAGCATCCCTATCCTGCAGGAGAGGAGACCGAGCTTCAGGAGATCGGGGTCTTGCCCAGCTACTCTGAGAGAAGAGCAGAGCTGAGGCCCAGACCCCAGCCTGGCTGACCCCAGATTCTAAGCTCTCTGCTCCTGAATTGGTTTCCAAACTGTAGCCAGAAAAGGGCCACCAAACTGCATACGGTGGAACCCAGAGAGAGGCCGGAGAAGGGAGCGGGCCCTGCAGTAGTTCAGCACAGAACTGCTAAGGGGGCAGACGTGAGCAGAGGTCTCAGAGTGGAGCGGGGGCGGGGGGTGTCAGGAGGTGGACCCCTTGACTTGGTGGCGGTGGTGGGTGGAGAGGAAGGTGGGGGTGGCCAGGGAAGGGTGGGATTTCAGGCAATTGGAAGGGACCCCTTCTGGCTCCCAGGCCCTGTTGCCCCACCGGGGAGCATCTCTGCAGGCCGCAGGCCACCCGCGCTCCGCCCTGACCCTGAGCCTCTGCCTTTCCCCCCCATCTCTGTCCCCGCCACCTGGCCAGACGGGCCCAGCTGCCGAGCACGTACTCCTGCTGATGCAGAAAGCAGGACCGTCTCTTTCAAACAGGCCTTGTTCAGAAGCTTCTCTCTGTGTTTTGTCCTTTCCTCCTGTCTGTGGGCCGGTGTCCCTGCAGGAAATACAACAGACGGACGACTGGAATTGTTATTGTTCCTTCTGAGCCAAGTTGGGGGAGCGGGCTTACATCCACTGGGGCGTGTCCCAAAGCCGGGAGGATGAGGTCGGGCTGACCGCCGGCCTGGTCGGCGTGCTCAGGGCCCCCGAGTGCAGCACAGGCCGGAGAAGGACCCAGGGAGGTGCGAGGCCGGGGTGCTCAGCATCAGCGTTTAATAAAATGAGCATTTCTCCATCCATCGGTTCAGCCCGAGTTCCGTTCGATATGTGTTCTTCCGTGTGTGCGCGCCTTCAGCCATTAATTCTGTGTCTCTGAGACCCCTGCTGTGTTAGGAGCTGTTCTGGGACTGGGGATACAGAGAAGGAGCAGAAACACGAGGGGCCTGCCTCACAGAGCTGAGTTCCAGCAGGGGAAGCCCAGTTTAAAGAGTAAATTGAGAACCACACACAGAATGATGGACCGGGGTGATCGCTGTGACGAGGATGTGCAGGGTGACAGGGACAGGGAGGGCCGGGCTCTGATGGGTGGTCACAGAGGGGGGAGGTGACAGGAGCCAGCCTTGTGAAGAGCAGGTAGGAGGACCTTCGAGGGGAAAGCAGATGGGAAGACAGGGCTCTGGGTAGTTGAGGGATGTGGGCAGTGTGGGGAGCCCAGGGGAGAGACGGACACACACATGTACACCCGTCGTGCAGTCCGCCCTGCTCAGCGCTAGCCGTCTGCACCAGGAGCCATGTGGTGGTGAAGGGGCCCATGAACCCTTCCTGACAGTAGAGGGAGCGTATGAGTTAGCAGTAGCTGCATAACAAATACCACCCCCCAAAAAAACCCAACACCAGATGGAGACGACAGAGGTGTTTTGTCTCATAGTTTCCTGGGTCGGGGATCTGGGAGTGGCCCAGCTGGGTGGGTCTTGCTCAGAGTCACCAGCAAGCTATTGGCTACTGCTGCTGTCACCCTGAAGTTCAGGCGGGGCTGAAACACCGCCTGCCAGCTCGCTCCGGTGCTTGCTGGCCGCCTCCTGGGGGCCGCTCCTGGGGGCCGCTCCCTGGGGGCTGCTCCTGGGGGCTGCTCCTGGGGGCCACCTCCATGGGGCAGCTCCCAGCGTGGCAGCTGGTGACCCCCAGGCTGAGTGATGTGTGTGTGTGTGAAAGAGAGAGAGAGACACTGCAGACAGAAGCTAGTGTTTCTGTGACCTGGTCTCGAGTGACACGCCATCACTTCTGCCATGTTCTGTTCATCAGAAGCCAGTGATCAGGCCCCCCTGCACTCAAGGGAAGAGGGACGGGGTTCCATCTCTTGCAGGGGCATCAAAGAATCTGTGGGCATATTTTTAAGACGGCTACTCAGGGGATGCCTCAGCGTGGTTTTGGGGGTGACTAGGAGTTTGCTAGTTGCTCAGGGACTTTCCCAGAAGAGGGGCCACATGCAAAGGCATGGACTTGAGAAGCCGCGAGGTTGAATGTTGTAGATGGTGGGTGTGGAGTGCGGAGAAATAGACCTGGAGAGGCAGGCAGAGCCGGTCCTGGGGGCCTGACCGTCCTCCAGAAGGCCTGGCTTCATCTGCAGACTCCTCAGACATGCATCTGCGGGGGCGTGTGCACGTGTGTGTAAGTGTGTGTGCACACGTGTGTATACACGTGCATGTGTATGTGTGACTCCACAGCTCCTTTATGTTGTGTTAAGGGGCTGTGGTATTAAGGAAGGCAAGAAGCAAATTTTTATTATAAGAAGTTCACTGAAGCCACCACGTGGAGATGCCTGGAGAGCTGAACATAGGAGTACAGTGAACTTTTGGAGACTGTTGGCGATGGCATCACGGCAGGGGCTTTAAATGACAGCAGTGACAGTGGGTGGGGAGGGGGTGCGTGTGACGGGGCGGGGGGTCATAGCGCACTCGGCGGAAGACGGCGCTGCCTCTCGCCTGTGCTGCCGTGTCTCCTTGTCCTCGGGGCACCCACTGCTGGAAGGAGGAGCTGTACGTAGGTGACACTTAGGCTCCTTCTGAAGTCCAGCTCAGGGTCAGACCACCGCGGGCCCTGAGGACGACGTGGGCCTGCCTGAAGCCAGGGCGGAGTCTGGGTCCCACAGCCCCCAGCCTCACTCTCTGTCCTGCCTCCCCCAGTTTGACCTCCAGCGGGTTGTGATCTACTGTGACTCCCGACACGCAGAACTGGAGACTTGCTGTGACATCCCGTCGGGTCCGGTGAGTCGAGACCCTTGCCTGGAGGGGTTGGGAGGAAACGGGTCCCTGGCTCCCCGAGGAGGGGGTGTCCAGGGCCTAGGAATGGGGGATGCCTTCCATCAGAATGAGACCTGGGACGGGGCCCAATGGGCCCCGCTGGGGTTCTGTTTCCTGGCGAAGCAGGGTGTGGGTCAGGGGAGCGGGTCTTCAGGTCCATCTGGGCCTCAGTCAGCACCCCCCGAGGCTGTCATTCCAGCGATGAGGCCCAGCCCCGGGAGCAGAGGCAGAGGCGGGCAGCGGGTCCCTCGGAGGGAGTGGCACCCCTGCTGCTAGTGCTCAGAGGGGGAGGAAGGCTGGTCAGCGGGACGGGTGGCAACACGGGCCAGGGCTCAGAAAGGCGGGACCGAGCAGAGCGTGGCCTGGACCCTCCCTGTCATTCTGCCTCTCCTCTCCCCGGGACCTCCTCAGCCCTGCCTCTGTCCAAGTGCTGCCCTCCCCCCGATCTGTACCAGGCGCCAGTCCCAAGGCTACCTGGGAGGTGGGACTAGTCTTGCCTCCCAGGGTTGCAGGCTCATATCCAGGTACAGGGCTGGCCCAGTCCCGGGGCACCGTGCGCGCTCGGTCAGTGTGTGCACAGGCCCCTGGGGGCGGTAGTTACCAGAGCTGGGGGTTTAGGTGAGAGTGAGGCAGAGGGGAGGAAGGAGAGAGGGGAAGGCAGATCAGGGCAGGAGAGAGTGAAGGGAAAGGAGGAAGGGAGGAGGAAGGCAGAGAGGGAGGGTGGGGGAGTGGTGAAGGTAAGGAAATAAGTCATTGTCGAGCGCCTGCTGAGTCTCTGTGTCCGAGACACTGAGCTGGATGCTTTAGTCCCGTCCCATTAAATCCTCCTTCACCACATTATGATGGAAATGCCCTTGTCCCCATTCTGCAGAGGTCAATACTGAGGCTCATAGAGGCTAAGCTCGCAGGTGGCTGAGAGGCCAGTGAAGAGGCTGGGATGGGTTGGCCCAGGCCAGTCCGACTCCAAGGCCTGGGAGTACCAGGACCTGCGGTGATCAGACATTCCTTGCCCTCCTATCTCAGGCGCCAGCATCCTCAGGGTTCCTGGCTCCCCTTTGCCTGTGCCAGGTTCCAGGGAAGCTCCAGAGAGTGGTGCAGGGCTGGAAGTCAGGTTCTGACCACTGGGCTTTCCCTCCAGTGCCAGGTGACCGTCCTGACGGAGCCCTCACCCCCACCCCAGCCGCCTCCCACCTCTGGCAGTGAACAGATCGGACTTCTGAAGACCATCAACTGCTCCTGCCCACCTGGAGAAAAGGTACCATCTACAGGGTAGCCAGTAGAAGGAGCAGTGAAGGTGGGAATTTCCCATCATGCCCGTGGTCTGCCAGGTCAAGATGGCCCCAGACCCCAGATGACCCCCTGTCAGGGGACTGTTCTTGCTCCGTGGACATCTCCTTTCTTGATTTTTGTGCACAGTGGGAGGGGAGCTCCTCAGACCCAGCTCTGATGAACGTTTTCCTGAAGCTAATCATGTACTCCCGAGGCTCCTCTGCCTCCTCCTGGTGTCCTCTTCATTCATGTGCGTCTAAACAAGCCAGATTTGCTTTGAGAGTAAGTCTCAGAAGGAGCACTGCGTGAGGGTTAGGTGTGCCCCATGGGGCGCACCCTCGTCCTTCCTCCTCAGAATTTCCTGTAATTAGCCACACCGTGTAACCTGAATGCATGGAAGAGTAGAGTTTAATGCATCTTGTTTCTAATTTTAAACACTAGCGTGTTTCTTAGCACCACCGTCTCCGCCTGTTCGCCTGGGGGAGATGTCTCATCCAGTGCCTGAGGCCCTCGTCTGCTGTTTGCCTGTAGACCAGAGGCCCTTTTAATAAGAAAACAAGTATGTCTGCTGTTTGAACAGAACAAACAGACCAAAAAAGGGATGACAAACGTGGCACTGCACTGGAGATGGTCTCCATGAAGATCTGCTGGGCTGGTAGCCCGGGGCCTCCATCTCCAGCGTCCCGTGTAGCCACTGCTCTCTTGCCCTCGCAGCTCCGGCCGGCGTGCAGCCGTCACTCCCTGACTTTGTGAGGCCCCGGGAGACACAGAGCAAAATACGACATCGTGGTGGAATGAACTGGCGTGGACACACTGAGAATTCCCTAGCAGTTCTCTCCCAGTCAGCCCGTCTGTCCTGGCCTCCCTTGTTTCGTCTCCTCTGTCCCCCTCACTCCCTCTGTCCTTCTCTGCACCCAGAGGGCTCTCAGTCAGGTGGGGCCGTCAGCCCGGGGCCCAGCTTGCCGGAGGCTGCAAGGAGCCAGCTCAGCCAGGCTGTGAGTGGAGGCTCTCTCTGGGCAGTGGATGGAGCTGGGCGCCCCCAGCCTGGTGCTGGGTCAGGAGTGGGGGAAACGAGGGAGGGGCTGGCCGGGGCACGCAGGGCGCTGGGCGGGGCTCCTCCGCCTGCCGCAGGCTCAGGGCGGGCCACAGACACAGAGTCGATCTGGCTCTCGCCTGTCAGCGTAGTAGCATGTGCAGCTGTCCAAGCGCAGTCCTTTTGAGTCCTTGTTTTCCTTTAAAACCCCCTGACGAGAAGGGTTTGGATCACGAGTGTGCAGACTGTGCCCAGCTGGCGGGTGGGCACTAGCTCGCCCAGCTCGTGGTTTCCCCAGAGCCCCGCCGTGGCCGTGTCCCGCCGAGGCCACTGTGGTCCCGGGCAGGGACCCCGGGGAGGGAAGTCTGGGCTTGAGCAGGCCTCCCTTCCCGCCCTCCAGCTTGCAGACGCCTGCTGGATGGCCACCTACCTCCTCGGATTGGCTTGTAGATCCCCTCCCCCACCGCCCCCACTCTGGGTGGCCCTGGTGGGTCCCAGTTGCTTTTCTAGCCTCAGCTCACTCTACCTTCCCCTCCCGATCCCCAGGCAGCCAGAACTTCCTGCTCCTTGGAGTGCGTGGTCTTTGTTGCCTCCCAGAATTTCCATTTGGAGCATCTTTCCCCAGTTCCCCCTTTTTTATCTTTAATCCTGCTCTCCTTTCAAGACCTGCCCAGAGAATCCTCCTGTGAGCACATTATTGTCTGTATGATTCCCTCCTCTCTTCCTCCCTTCCTCCCCTCCTTCTCTCCTTCCGCGGTTCACATCCACCCATTCGATGATTGTTTTCTCAGGCCCTGCTGTCTGTGAGACATTATGACCCTTTCTCTCCCTCTTCTTCCATCCACCATGACAGCGATCATGTTGGATTGAAAATGTCTGCTTGTCCTTACTTCCATAAGCCATACGTTCCCAGTGGCAAGACTGAATCTTCCCGTGTCTATTTTCTGCCACTGGCATTATTAAATAGTGGTTGAACTGATGGATACGCGGGATACGAAGGATGGGGAGACGGACGGCAGGTGGAAGGTGGGAGAGAGGGATGAAGGAACACACCCTTTCTTTCTCACTGGCAGGACAGGGTCTCACTGGTCAGGATTACCAGTCAGCCTTCCAGGGCCCAGCCTCAAACTGCGGGTGGTATCACCCAGTGATCCATTCTGTTACTCACTCAGTCATTCTTGTTTTTGAGAATAAACACGAAGCACCCACTCTGTGCTGAGCACTGAGATTATAGGTGCATAGGACATGGTCCTCAAAAGTCCTGAGGTCTGCTATCTGGCTGGGGCTCTGGGACCTCCGAGGCCTGCCCAGGCCTGGGGAGCTCACTTACCATCGGGCCAGCTCAGGAGCCTGCCAAGTACTGGGGGTGGGAAGGGCCTGCGTCTCCCCTCTCCCCAGAAGGGCCACGTGGAGGAGCTCTGACAACCCCTCACTAAGTCGGTGTTGCCTCTGCCTCCTCCTGCTTCAAATCCATAGAAAATTACCACACGGGGCCCAGGGAGTCTGAGGGTTCTCTCCCGAAAGGAAGAACTCTGGTCACGGGCAGGCTTGATTTCTGACGGCTTAAATCTTCGATTCCATTTACAAAACATTTCCATTATTCACCTCAGCCTGGTGCCTTTTGGGTCCACACGTTTGGACTCATCCTGGTGAGCATGGGCTGTGTGGCAGTGTGTGAGCTCTCTCTCTCTCTCTCACACACACACACACGCACAATGTTCATCTCCTCTTCCGTGTATAAATGACACCTATGAATGTGTTTTTAAAATACAGATTCTTGAAGTCGCTGAATACACGGCCATGACTGTGACGCGTGTGTACGCTGTCTTCGGGGATGGGTGGCGCACTTGCAAATGGGTGTGGGGCCCCGTTTCTTTTTATTAATGTGGTGAGGTTGACATACAGAAGCGGTGTGAGTCGTGTGGCCTTGTGTTTAGCACGGCGTTTACCTGCCTCTCCAGCTTAACAGATCCCATTTTTAAATCCAGTGATAAGATCTCTCACTAATCAAATAGCGCATATTTTAAAAAGTGAATCATGTTCGCATTTAGAGATCGCCTCTAGATACGTTTTATGTTTTATGAACAATAATCATGTGAGCAAGTGGAGCGGACCACATGGCCCTTTAATTGCAGTGGTGGCGCATCAGGTGAAAGCAGCCTGCAGGGGCCCCCCTGCTTGTTCCTCTCCCCCCACAGCGGCCGTGTCAGGGCCGTGTCCCAGTGCCCCACGGAGGCCGGCAGCCTGAGAACCGGGGCTCTCAGCTCCAGTAAACGCGACTGGCGGAGGGACGGGCTGCTGCGCGTGTGGAGGGGACAAACAGCAGGCGCAGAGAGAAGGGAGAGGCGCTAAACCAGAGCCTTACTCGTTTTCTTTTTTCTCCCCTCCTTTAGGGCGAGAAGGGCTTCGACGGCCCCATGGGACTCCCCGGCCCGAAGGTCAGTGCCAGAGCCGGCAGGGGTGCCCTCAGAGCCCAGGGTCCTGGGATTTGCTCCCTTTGGAAGAAAGAAAGAAAAAAAAACCACCGGCGCCGGCAGCGTGTTCACTGACTGTCCTGCGGTGTTTTGCTCCTGAGCTTGCTGGGGTGCGGGGACAAAGCAAGCGGCGTACATTGGGGGCCTCTGAGCGCCCTCACGGCCCGGAGCCTGCAGTCTGTCTGACGGCATGGAGGGGGGTCTCTTCTTCCTGTGCAGACGCTCTTCTCCTCTGTGTGCGCCTCTCTCCTCGCAGACTGCCGTGGGGGTCCAGGGCCCTCCGGGGCACAGATGTACAGGTGGCACAGTCGGGGGCCCCGGTTGGCCTCTGGCAGTTTCCAGAGCACCTTTGTGCTCTTGTCTGTGCTCATGACCGCGTGCCCATTTCTCAGAGGAGGAGCCCAAGGCATAAAGAGTACTGCTGTTCTCACGTTAAGTGGCAGAGCCGGGGTCTGAACCCGGGGCTTCTGACCGTGCTCCTGGGGCGCTGGCCACACACAGACGCCAGGCCACCCCTGGGGTAAGGCACGTGGTGCTCTCATCCACTTGGCTGTCTCAGGATGCCCTGAGTTGGAGGAATTGGAGAAATTATTCAGATGCGCCCTCCCTCTCTAGGGGTGGGAGGCTTGGCCGCACGGTTTAGTGGCAGTGACAGCATCAGCCTCTTCCAGGGAAATGGGGCAAGGTGGGCTGTGGGCAGCCAGTGTGGGGGAGCCCGGCTGGAGGACCTGACCCCACTCTCATCTCTGGTTTCCACCCCTCAGGGAGACGTGGGAGCCACTGGGCCGGTTGGAGCTCCTGGGCCCAAGGGAGAGAAAGGAGATGCGGTGAGTAGAGGGCCCTCCACGCAGCTGGCGTGAGGACCAGGTCTTTCCCCTAGAAATGGCTGGGCACCTCGTGCGTGTCGGCACCGTGCCGCACGCCCCTGGGAGTGACGTCCAAGCCCCTCTCCATGGGGCACGGGAGGCCTGCTGCCACTCCAGCCTCGTCCATCACCTCCCACCCCCATCCCCAGAATTCTGTGCCCCAAATCGGCAGCTGTGACTCCCCAGACTGGTCATTTCTCCTCCTGGCCATCACACCTGTGTTTTCTTCTACCAGGAGTCGTCTTGCCCTCCGTCCAGCACCTTTTTCCCCCGTCACCTCCCCTTTCTGCCTGGCTCATGTTTTCTCATCCATCAGACTCCACTGTGTGTGGGTCTCCAGGATGTCCTTCTGACCCCAGGTCAGCTCACACACCCGCTCCATGCTCCTGCGTCACTGGTGCTTCTCAGTCCTAAATCTGCTGACTCCCTGATACTTTGGTTTGTGGTTTGTCATCACAGCATCCCCAGCGCCTGGCCCAACACCAGTTGTGCTCATGGGGCCCTCGGCTGATGAGTGAGCATGAGTGATGGTGGGTCAGGGAAGACTTACAGAGAAGAGCGATTCGTGGTGCGGAGCAGGGCTTAGGAGCCAAATGGCTGAGAGCAGATGCTGGCTCCACCAAGATACTTAACCTTTCAGCCTTCAGTTTCCTCATCTGTAAAGTGGGGAGGATAAAATTAACTGTCCGGTAGCATTATGGGGGTTAAGTGAGTTAACACAGGAAAATGGTTTAGAACAGTGTGGAAGCATGGTAAATGCTGTTGGTGCTCTTAGGATTTCCTGAGCAGGCAGGAGCCCTTAATCCTGCACACTGCGTCATGTCGCGTCAATAGCACAGGTTTGGCGTCAGAGGGACCTCAGTAATTGCTCCGGTGTCATTAGCTGTGTGACTGCGAGCAGGCCTCTTAACCTCTCTGAGAACCTCAGTTACTCTGTCAGCAAAACAAAGAAAGTAACAGCTTGGTGTCTAAAGTGCCCGGCCCGGGGTAGATAGTCAGTGAATGAGAGCTGTCCTTTTCGGCAGTGTAGTTGGGTTCTCGGTGCCTAGGGGAGCCCCTGATAACCAGGCAGAGCCTCCTCACTAGAAGGACTAGTCTGGCAGATACCCCTGCTGTCATCCAGCAGCTCGTGATTGTAGCTGTGCCGCCTGTCCATCTCCCCGGGTGCTTCATGTCGGTTCTCTCTTTACTCCTTGAAAGGACTTTTTAAACGTAGCCCCATCACTTCTTTGATGGGAAGGACACAGAATTCTCAGACCTGCGTGATTGCTCGTGATCACACAGCCTGAAGGTGGCAGAGGCAGAATTGGAACCCGCGTCTGTTTGGGTCTCAGTCCTGTGCCCACGGAGAGCTGCTGCCCTGTACCAGCACTCACGCTGTGCCTGGCTCCGAGCGCCGTGCTTTGCAGATTTCAGGCTCATGTAACCATGAGACCAGCTGGGTCAGGTGGGGCCTCGTGAAACGCGCATCTTACTCATACACAGGAGAAAGGAGCAGGCAGCAGAAACTGCCTGTGGGAGGGCACAGACGTTGGGCGTAACAGACAAAGCCTGCGAAGTAGCCGTTATAATTACAGTCAAAGAACGAAAAGAAATCATCCTTAAGGAAACAGAGGGAAGTATATGGTGACCATGTCTCATCAATCACTGAGCATAGAGAGAGAGAGAGATTAGTTAAAAAAAAAAAGAACCAAATGGAAATTCCTGAGTTTAGAATTACACTAACAAATGAAAAAAACCACTAAAAAGATGAAAAAAGAGCCAGCATTCTTGAAAATAGATCAGTAGGGATTATGTAATCTGAAGAATAGAGAGAGAAAGTAATGAAGAAAAATGAACAGAATCTTGGAGAAATGCGAAGGCCCCGAAGTGCATCAGTGTGCACGTAATGGGGATTCCAGGAGAGCAGAGAAGGAGCAGAGAAAGCATTCAAAAAGTCGCGGATACAGACGTCGTGAATCACATGAGGAGCAGTAACTCACACATTCAGGAAGCATAATGAGCTCCAACCAGGAAAAACAAAAAGATCCATCCTTAGAAACGTCACGGTCAAGCACACCAGGAGAACCAGAAACTGACACCTTGTCATTCAGTTTTTAAAAAATGCTAAAGGACAGAGCAAAACTCTGAAAGCAGTAAAAGAAAAACGACTCATATGTACAAGGAGACCCTATAAGGTTATCCATTGACTCATCACCAAAAATAATTGAGGTGAGAATGCAGGGGGGTGACAGACTCAGAGTAATAATTGTGATAACGTATCATTGGGCGTTCAACAAATATTTGTAACGGCAATAGCACGCACCAGGGGGAGGAGGGAGAGGATAACATGGGAGTGTTTCTGAGCCTCACTGGAAGTGAGTCAGTGTAAACCTGAAGTAGATCCCGACGAGTTAAGATGCACATGGTAAACCTAGAGCAACCTCCAAGAAGATAATTCAAAACTGTGTAGTGAAAATAAACTTATAGTTATTAAAATGTTACACTTAAAGTGCTCATGTAAAGGGAAAAAAAGAGGAGTAAATGAGGAACAAAGGAACAGAAAAAGTCCGGAGACATGCAAAACAAGAAGTTAAATGGCATATGTAAATAACTATATATTAAAAATGACACTGCATGTAAATGTATTAAACCAGTTAAAAAACATATTTTTTTCACACAACATAAAAACAAGATCCGGCTATACTCTGTCTATTGGATACACACGTTAGATTCAAATATAAAATAAAGTAAAAGAATGGATAACATCCATTCTACCATTAGAAAACATAAATTGGGGTGACTATAGCAATATCAGACAAAATAGACTTTAAGATCAAAAGGTAATAAAGAGGGACATTTTATAACAATAAAAGTGTCAATCCCTCAGAAATATATAGCACTTATAAATGTATGTGCACCTAATGACAGAGCCCCCAAATACATGAAGCAAAGTTTGAGGATTGAAAGGAGAAATAATTCATTAACAATGGTTAGAGACTTCAGTAGCCTATTTTAAATGATAGAATAAAGGAATGTGGAGAAGTTGGAACATTGGAACGTTGCTGGTGTGAAATGCTGTAGCTGCTTTGAAAAACAGTCTGGCTGTCCTTAAAGGGTTAAACACAGAATAACCATATGACTCGGCACCTCCTCTCCTAGGCACATATCCAAAAGAAATGAAACATATGTTCATACAAAAACTTGCACAGGACTGTTCACAGGAGCATTATATGTAATAACTGAAAAGTAGAAACAACCCAAATGCTCATCACCTGATGATAGGATAAATGAACTGTCTTTTATATCCATGCAATAGTATATTATTTCAAAATAAAGTGAAGTATTGATGTGTGCTACAATACGGATGAATCTTGAAGACACTTTGCTAAGAAAACACTGGCTGTGAAGCCAGCCACCAGAGCCCACGTGTTGTACGGTTCTGTTTATATAAAATGTCTAAGAATAGGCAGATCTATAGAGACAGGAAGTAGAGAGTGTTTGCCCAGAGCTGGGGGTGGAGGGAAGGGGAGTGCCCACTAATGGGTATGGGGCCCTTTGGGGTGATGAAAATGCTCTCCAGTTGATGCTGCATAACTCTGTAAATATCCTAAAAACGATTGAATTGTACACTTGAGGTGAATTATGTGCTGTGTAGATTATATCTCAATAAAGCTGATGCAGAAAAAAGAATAGTACCGTAATATTGAGCTGTTGGAAAAATTAAATGAGATGAAAGTCACGAAGAATCAACACTCAGTAAGTGAGTGTTGTCTCTTAGAAGCTCCTTGGCAGAGCCGCGAGGAAGCACCCGGCTGCTTCAGGTCCCAGGCGCTGCGGCCGCGATGCTCTATAACCTTTGCCTTCTGCTTTCCTTTTCTAGGGCAGAGGGCCTTTTGTCCAAGGAGAGAAGGGTGAAAAGGTAAGCCCCTCGCTGTTGTCTCCTTCCTCCGAGGGCCTCGGGGTGGTCCGGGGGCAGGATGGAGGGCTGGGGCTCAGGAGAGTTGCGTGCTGCCTGGTAAGGATTTGGGAGGTAGGGAAGAGGTCTCCTGGGCTGGGTGCCCGGCCTCGGGGCGTGTCCTCCCCTGACTTAGGCAGTTGAAGCAGCGTGGACAGCGTGAGCACAGTGCAGGGGGATGAGGAGGGAAGGGCCTGTTTAGGGTGTAGGTGTCCCAGTGCCTGGAGCCGAGGGCGCACAGCGACCATGGCTACGAGCTGCAGGCGTGGTCTGCAGGCCAGCACGCGGGGCATTCAGTATCAAACCATGTTGAGGTCTTGTCCACAGCGGTGGGAAGGCCTTGGGCACTCCAGGGTGATCAGACACGTGGAGAAGGTTTGAATGGCAGATAGACATGAGGAGAGAGACCAGAGGAACCTGGGGAACAGTCGGGGATTGCCGTAGAAGGACGGAGGGGAGATGACGGCTCATGAATGGAGGAGGCGCCACGGGAGGCCTGTCCACCTCCTCCTGAATGCGTGCACTGCGCCGCCTTTACCTTCACCACAGCGCGCACAGCGCGGCAGGTCCCAGGAAAGAGGAGAGCTTTCTTAAGTGCTAGCCTCTACAGAGAAATAAAAAGCAGTCCCCCAAAATGCCATTTTCCACTCACACCAGTGACTAGAAATACGTCTCCCATTTCCCAGGAGAGGCAGCTGCAAGACTTCGTAGCATACATTTCTGTTGATTATTTTGCCAGAGTCCAGGCACGTGTAGACTCAGAGTGCAGTGTCATTGGACCCCGGGAAGGTACCATTACTTAGATAACATCATCGCATCAACCCGCTGCGTAGGGCTGGTTGTGTAAACCAGGTGCCGCTCCGTTCAGTTACTGTGGAAATGGAGCCTTCAGCCCATGCTCTCTGCGTGGTTGGTACCTTTTATTTGGTTCTTTGTTGTCTAGAGAGTTACTCTGAGGAGGTAAATCAAGGATGTGCACACGTCCACCCCGCGTGTTCCAGCCAGCAGTCCAGCCAGCAGAACTTGCCAGCCGGACTGGAAACGACTGCAGTGCCATGTAGTGGGCACAGGGGAAAACGCGTTACTGTACAGCTAAATACGCAGTGACATCTAAGGACACAGAATCACATTGAGAAGAATCATTAGTGACCCAGAAAATGAAGATAACATTTTGCTAATTTTGAAAACACATTGCAGAGTTTCACTATGATGTGCGTGTGTGAGAGAGACAGAGAGACGTGGATTCTGGAGGCCAGCCCCAGCGTTAACCGCTGGTCTGAGTGGCAGAGCTGTGAAGGTGTTTATTTTCTCCCTGATGGTCCTTTGTGTCTTCACTTGTTCCACAGTGAGCTGCGCTTTTTGTTACCAGTTGGAAGCACGGGCACATGCGCGCACCTAGTTAACTACTGCGCCGGCGCACACAGCCCTTTGAGAGACAGCGTGACAGCCAGCGTGACGTAGCGTCACACCAGGCAGGCCTGGCTCGGTCGGCTCTGCTGCTCTCAAGCTCTGCCGTCAGTTCTGGAGTCTGTGTCCCCAGATACCTAACCTCGGGCTGACGGCGCCCCCTGCCATGGTTCCCGTGGGGTCTCGAAGCACAGCACCCAGACCGAGGTGCTCAGGTCCAGGAGCTGCTTTTGTAGTTGCCAGCATGCTTGGTGCCTGTGGGTTCAGAACCAGGGCACGGGGTACTAACAGGACCCCCAGAGGTTCCTCGCAGTCAGGACTGGGGCGGCTGGAGCCCTGCAAATCAGGGTGCTGGGTCTGGGTCGGGCTCGCCGGGCAACCAGCGTGCAGCTCCTGGGCCAGCCCGTCCTCTGATTGACATGCTGTCCTTGTGTGTTGGCGTCACCAGGCGGAAACTGGCAGGGCCCCCTTCTCCCGTGAGCAGCGGATGCCCCTCTGCCTCGTCCGTTCTGGCTGAGCTCAGGATGGGCAGCCTTCTCCTGGTGCCCAGAGGCACTGGCTCAGTGCCCTGAAGCCTGGGCTGCAGCACCACACTCAGACCCGAAGCTGCTGGGTCACAGCTCCAGCCGGGCGATCTCCTCGGTGCCGGCAGGAGACGCAGGCAGCTGAACCGCCTCTGGCACTTCTGGCTCTGTCCTCAGTTGACATTCTCTTGCAGTTGGGCATTTTTAGCAAAGTCTGAGTCTAGATTCTGCCACGTCTGCGCTGTGTGATGCAGGGTGAGTCACCTCCGTCTCTGGGTCTCTGCTGCCTCACTGTAAACATGAGGGGGTGGGACATGACGATGCTTGAGGGCCTGGCAGGTGGCGGTTCTGAGACTTAGTCATCAGCCCACCCCCAGCCTGAGTCCCTGGGGCCCTCCCCCGTACCTCAAGTCTCTGCTTCCCCTCGGGGATGAGCTGAGGCCAGGGTGGGTCAAGGGCAGGAGAGACTCCACAGAAGGGAGAAGGCCACGGTGACTGACGCACCTGCGGAGCTTGACAAACTGGCGTCTTTGCTCGACTGTCTCTCGAGGGCAGTTACGGGGTACCGAGGGGATTGGGTGGACCGGAGCCCATGGGCCTGGAAATCAGTACTCTGATACTGGCTGTGTTTTTGTTTTTGTATTTTCGGTGTTGTAGTTAACCACTGTGACAATGTGCATTGGCCTCTATGAGGGTGAGGCATCGTGGAAGGTGTGGCCCCTGCATTATGTCTCATTATTAAGACGGTGCTTCAGGAAGGCATGGCTAGGCCCGTTTCACAGATGAGAACATAGCTTAGAGGTCAGGTGACCTGCCCAATGTCACAGTTAGAGGGCTAGGAAACTAAAACGAAGGGAAGCCAGAAAGCTGAATGGATCACCCCCTTTCCTGCTGCTGAGGAAACTGAGGCTCAGAGAAGGTGAGTGACTGGCCCGAGGTCACACAGCTGAAGAACTGCTGGGGCTCGTGGCCTCCTGATCCCCCCCAGGCCCCGCTGCTGCCTCCCCCCAGCAGCCCCACCAGATGCCCAAGACCGTCGTGTGCTGCTCTGCCCCTGGGCTGCCGCTGCCCCTCCTTTTGGAAGCTAGCCTCCCCTGTGGTTCCTGTTACGTCCCATACTCACCATGGGGTTCTTGGGGCAAAGCTCCTTCTATGTTTTAATTGAAGTTGGGCCAAAGGAAAGGGAGAAGCCGAATTTTAGGGGCTACCCGACAGGAGCTGCCCGCAACTCAGATGTCGAGGGCACGGAAGGAGAGAAAGGAAGATGTGGAGTCTCCTTCACAGTGCCTGGAAGACAGCAAGCACTAACTAAATGCTCGCCAAATGAGTGAGGGGTGAATGGGATGCGGCCCCCCAGCATCCAGGACCGAGGCCCAGGAGAGGGGTCCCAGGCTCCGCAGCCAGACGGGCTCAGCTTCCAGTTCTGGCTCCAATTCACATTAACTGTGTGCGCCTCCCCTTGGGCCACTCTGAGCCTCAGTTTCCTTTTCTGTAAAAGGTGGGGAAGGGAATAGTGATAGTTCCTACCGAGGCTTAACCTGGGAGGGCTTGACCAGTGCCCGGCGTAGGGAGCCCTCATCACGGGCAGTGCTGCTGCTCCTGTCGCTGTTGTCACTTGCCGTGGGGTCTTGGTGATGGTGCGGTGAGAGAGGAAGGCCACTGCTCTGGGCTGGTCTGGACCGGTTCGGGGGAGTTGGGGAGAGCAGCGAGGGGTGACAGCCTCCGTGTCCCTCCAGCCCTGGGCTCGTCCACGTCAAGAAAATGCAGGAACAAGCACAGTGACGATGCTGGTGTGCGGTCTCCTGTGGGTGGGTGCTGTCATGAGCCCCACGGGCAGAGAAAGTTTTAGGAACAGCAAGAACAAGGCCCAGGTGTGCGGTGTCCGAGGGTCCTGTGCTCTGGGAGCCCAGAGCCTTCAGGGGAGGAACCCGGGAGCTGCCGCGTGTCGCCCCTTCCTGGACCCACAGCGCCCTCTGGTGTCCGGAAGCCAGAGCGTGCACTCCAGTTTTCCTCTGCGGGGCTCCGTGGAATATCGGGAAGATCTCTGCCCTGTTGTGGGGCTTGCCTCTTTTCCTTAGGAATCTGGTGCCAGGAGGAAGGAGGAAAAGGGGGCCTTCTGTACTCAGACGTGGTCTCAGGTGATGGACAGAAAGCAGGTTCAGGGAGTTGAGCAGACCTGATTTGGATCCCAGCACTGCAGTGGTTGGGTGAGCTTTGGTTCCTGTCTCTCTGAGCCTCGGCATCCTGATGTGGAAAGTGGGGCCATAGATGCCTACCCTTCAGGGCTGTTGTAGGGTGTGGGAGGTTGGCAGTGCCTGTGAAAGCAGCTGGCTTAGTCCCTGGCACATGGTAGGTGCTTGTAAAAATCTGTCCCTTATCTTTATCCCTTTCTTGTCTGCCAGGAGCTATTGCTAAAATCCATAAAAGAGTGACGCATGTTCTTCTTCAACAGACAGCATTCAAGTACCCAGTATGTGGGAGAGAGTGGTGAGTTCACGGGGCTCTAAAGCCTGGCCTGGCCCCTCCAGGGGCTCACTCACCAATTCAGTGAGGGAGACTTGCACACAAATTCTGGGCACACGGTTATCTTTTATGAGGGTGCTTATTCTTGTTGGTCCTTAGCAAGCCAGGTTGTACCACCTCTATCCCCAATGCTGTCAGGGGCCTGCCTAGGACAACTGTCACATCAGCAAAGTACCTCGAGGCTTTCCCAGGACACTCGGTGTTATTGTACTGCTGGGGTGCTCAGAAAATGAAATTTAGAAATATCTAGGAAATTATCCTAAGCACAGTTCCCATGAAGGGGAAAATCAAACAATATGACCACAAGCTGACTCTTTTCTTTATAAGCACTCTTAGCAGTGACCAACTGCAGCAGAAAATGGACACAGCCTAATGGAAAATTGCATTTCTTCAGCCAGATGGACAGAAGTGAAAATTAGGAGGACCTTATACGTGGAGACAGGCATGCAGCGAGACGCAGGTGAAACGGTGGATTAGGAAGCCGTATGTGCTCACACAAAATGTGTGAGC